AGATGCTTAGATCACGGAATAGAAACGCTCAAGCAAATAACATTTTTCAGAGTTTAACAATGAAATTAAAGAGATTTAATGAAAGTCGAAACTGAGCAACGTGGCACCGGTTCAGAGATATCCGGTTTTGGGTCTTAACTGTTTCCGTCCTGAAACAACCCAAAAGCCACCCAGACAGGTATTGTAACGAAGCACTCAGAGTACGTCACCTATAGCCCTGGATTTGGGAGTGTGTGTGTAAAGGGATTGCCTGACCAACACCAGCTAATATAGATATAATTGACTCTCCCTACATAGATTTGGAGAGGTGCACAGACTCATTGTGCATCAACAAATTAAGCAGGCAGCGGTCAAAAGGAGCTGCTGAGCTCTAAGCCAACCTGGACAACAGACTACTGAACTCTGCTAAATCTGCAAACACAGCTTCTCCCTCTCTTTGGATCCCTTTCATCTCTCCGACATCTTCTCCTACAGACCTCCGACTCATAAACTTGAGTCAAAAGCAAGGACTTGTGCCTCTTGATCATCAGGACTTTCTACATTCCTCAGGCTTGAAACTTCAGCTTTAAAGGAGCATTGTGTACATCCTGTGGCAAAATTTGGTTACTGCAACCACTTTGAACAACCCTGGAGCTTTTTGAAGACTGTCTCCAAATTACAGTTGTCAGTGTTGCAATATTAGCTCACAGGAGACATGCCCCCCCCCCCCCCCCCCCCCACACACACACACACACACACTCACTGATGGTAAACAGTAGTTACGTTCCTTCTTTCTTTATTTTGAAAGGAAATATGTTTCAGAAAAACCTTCCTTCCAAAATGACTAAACGTTAGGCTCTTTTGGAATTTTCTCACTGCAGAATTCTCCCTACAGTATATTCTTACATACTGCACCTTTAATTCTGCAACAACAAAAAGTGTTCACCTATTTGCTATCATCTTTGTAATGTAGGATTCCCTTTGAAATACAATGTTTTCATTTAATTCTCCTCATAGAAGTCATAAAATTAAAACCACATTAAGTCCACAGCTGAAAGAGTAGTGTAACCTCGGCGACTCTCTGTAGAATTAGCTTTGCTTCATTTGGGCCAATTCGACAGCAAATAAACGCGACGTGAGCCCAAGTACACACAGCTGGCCCTTGAGACTCAGGATCCTGGGTAAACAAGTGTCCAACATGCCCCTGCAAAGCTTACCCATGGGGGGGTGGGGGTCATGAGCCACTGAACAATGGCTTATACTCCACTAGAGACAAGACTGATGTAGAGCTAAAGGAACTTTTATTATTTCTGCAACACACAACTGGTCTGGAAAGTGTAACAGTCCATTGATCAGCTTCACTGACATCTCTGCTTCATTTTGTTTGGAATGCTCCTTTTGTTACACGAGGACCAGAGGTGGAAATCTGCTGCTGAGAGTTTTAACCTGTGTCTTGACTTCATTCAAATGTTACTTTTCATCTTTAATGGTAAATGGTCTGTATTTATATAACACATTCTTAGGGTTCTACAACCCCCCAAGCGCTTCACAACACAATCAGTCATTCGCACATTCACACGCCAGTGATGATGAGCTACAGTGTAGCCACAGCTGCCCTGGGGCACACTGACAGAGGTGAGGCCTGCCAAACACTGGTGCCTCCGGTCCTGTCGACCACTACTAGCAGGCAAGGTGGGTTAAGCGTCTTGCCCAAGGACACAGCAGCAGAATTCTCTGGTCGAAGCCGAGATTGAACCTGCAACCTTCCAATTACTGGACAACCAGAGCTCTTGAGCTTCTGCTACCCCTTTCAAATGTTCTTATCTCAAATCACCCTCTCTTCGATGAGTTTCATTGTGTTGATCAAACAAGAATATTCTGAATGTTTTCATAGGATCTCTGGCAGTCTTCCTACAATGACCTGATGCAACATGTGCTAATTTGGCAGCATGTTGCTGAGATCAACTAAAACTTTACTCAGCAGCATGCTGCTCCAAAACCTTGCAGATGTTAATCATTATGAAAACAAAATTAACATCCATTGTGATGATCAGTTTTCCCTGTGTCGTTAATGATAAGTATGTTAAAGACCTTGTTGCACCAGATGGTTGGTTGTGGCTACAGGTTTCACTCTCTCTAGGAATCCCATCCTCCAACTTTAATTAGTGCTCTTTCAGTTTTGGTAGAAAATACTTTTGTTTTACCACACTATTTAACATCTATTCAGTTTGCAGTCACACACATCTATACAGAAAGTTTGTTATGAAAAATAAATAAATCTGAGGTGGTCAATATGAAATCATGATGTAATCTAATCAAACTCTTCCTCTTTAGGTCTTAGCTGTTTATTTGACTTGTCAGTTTTCCTTAAATAGTCAGATGCAAAATTTCTAACATCTCAAAATCATTTATTGTCCTTTTAACATCTTATCTTTTTTGTGAAATATAATGCTGCCAACAAATTAAACTGAGTTCATTTGTTAAAATATCAACAATGTCTTAGAATTAAGCATGCTGTCTATTTCTGGTAAATTAGTAACAAATATGCAATTCATCATTGTGTAATTTTCTTACTTAAATGGTCTTTAGACTATTGTAAGATTTAGTCCTGTCTTATAAAGCGTCAGAAATCCACGAAGATGTGCAGTTAAACCTTTCTTCTTTATTGTTTTCTGTATTGTGAAATTATTCTAATTTTTCCTCAATTTAAAATAAATGACCTTTTCGTTGATAGATCTCTGCTTTTTACAAAGGCAATTTGATGATAGTGTCCATTTAATCAAAAATAAATAGTGTTACTGTAGTATCTGTTTAAATTGCTGTTTTACCTGTGCTTTTTGTGTTTTTTTTTATTTTATTTTTGTTTTGTTGTTTTTAATTTGTTGAAATTGCCTGTGCAGCACTTTGCAGCTCTTACGCTGTAATTGAAATGTGCCATACAAATTAAATGGTCTGTTTGTCTCAAAAACAAGTCTGTTGCATAGCAGTAAATTGCTGAGAAGTAAGGTTACTTTAGTTCAAAAATATCATACGACACATGCGTGTGTGATGTGTCATACGATGAAATAATAATGTTACCTTTTTTTAAGAGTAAATAAAGGTTAAACAGGCAACTATTTCAACCAGTTTATCTTTCTCATTTACCTGTTTCAATTCAATTCAACTCAACTCAATTCAATTCAATTCAATTCAAATCAATTCAATTCAATTCAATTCATTTCAATTCAATTCAATTCAATTCAATTCAATTCAATTCATTTCAATACAGTTTATTTATATTGCACCAAATCTCGACAAGACTAATCTCAAAACACTTCATAAATTAAACATTACAATTGAGTTCAGTTAATTATGTCAATTGGTAAAAAGTTTCCTTTGCATAAAAACCCAGCAGATTGCATTGAGTCGCTGACCTGAGTCAGACTTGTGTCTTTGCGTCAAATTTTGAAACATGTTCATAGATCCTTCAATAACTTCTATTGATGTGTTGCATTTTTTATTTAGTTTTTCACTGGTTTATAACAGTTTTATCTTAGAAAGAAGCGCCACCTTGTGGTCAACTGAAGACCTTCCTTCATTCTGAAGATTACTAATCATTCTGTGTATTCTCGCTTCATTTATTTGCTCCCAAACACCAGAAAACACAATTTATATTAAAATTAAAGGCAAAGAGAGATGGTTTAGAAAAAAACACTCAATGAAAAATAGGGGGAAAGAACTTTTTTAAGGAAAAAAGCATTTTAAAGAAAACGTGTGCATAAAATCATGCAATGTGTGATTAATTGGATCAGCTGATTGTTTTTTTTTTAACATGTGAGTGAATTTGTTAAACCTCCTCAGATCAGTCCAGTAATACTGGTTGAGTTTTGTTAAATGCGTCGCTAGATGGCGCCCTTCTCCTTTGCCCATTTATTCAAACGCCCTCTGAAGAAAATGCAGGCACTCACTGAAAAGTTTTTGGTGTTTGCTTTAATAGTCAAGACACAACTGATAGAACATTGTATATTAATGAAAACATTCATCGGCAAAATAAACCTCACAGATTTATATTTAGATAATTATTTTTTTCTTATTATTAGTATTCTAAATCAGACTGAATATTAGAGGTGATTATTCTATTCTATTCTATTCTATTCTATTCTATTCTATTCTATTCTATTCTATTCTATTCCTTTATGAAGCCCCCTATAATCTGCAAGTTATGGCACGTGCTCAGCGGAGATCGGAGAAACTGTGCGCAAATGGCACGCGGACAGATGTGACCACCCCTCCCTCTCGCCTTCCTCACCCACGCTCCCTCTTCCCTCTGCCACCCATTTGAGCTGCTCCTGCTCCGGAATGATTGACACCAAGGCGTTCGCGCAGCCAATCAAAGAGCGCGCTGCCTCATTTGCGTAAATCAGCCGCATGCCATTGGCTCGGGTGCGTGCTGCTGCGGACCGCCTCGCGTGCCGCTACAGATGCCTTCTTGGAGGCTCATGAAGTGTCTTAAAATAGATAAAGAAGGTTTTTGTTTTCAGGAGTTTTCAACTTTTTTTAAATACTTTTAATAGCGCAAACATGTCATTTGTAAAAGCTGCCACAAAACGATTATTTATACAAATGCGTGCGTAAATTAAGTCACAAATAAAATAAAAAAAACTTTGATTCTCTGAAATTCCACTTTGATAACTTCAAACTATTTCTTTAAAATAATACAAACACACTAAAACGTTAAGTTGCATGACATTCTTCACGCAAAGAGCAAAGTTGGGAGCAAACATCCAGCTCTTTCCCCTTTTTTATCACTTCACAGCCCTGCCCGAACCGAGGCTGCTCGCTCCGCTTTGTTGTTTGTCCCTGCAGGGCTGATTGAGCAGCGCGTGACTGACGGCCCGCGGGGGTGTTGTCCAATCAGCGGCCTGCCCCGCGCCCAATGGGTGAGCCCTCTCTGCTATTGGCTGAGGCGAGTGTGGGAAAGAATGCAGAGAAGGTTTCACACGAACTGGGAGCACGCGCGCCGTCTATAAGTACCGCAGCGGCGTGTGTCGCCGGCACCAGTGGAGTTGTGTGCGCGGCGCACCACGCAGCCTGGAGAGCTCCTCACATGACAGCTCAGTGAAAACAAGCGGAACAGCAGGCGGATCTTCTACGCAGTGGCTTTTCTCCCCCCACCTTATCAAAAAGGATTTACTTCTTTATCGATTTTTACCTGGTTTGATCGATAATGCCAGCTGACACTATGGAAAAGCAGACGGCATCTCCTATAGCGGGAGCTCCTGCAAACGGATCGCACACACCTGACAAGCCCAAAAATGCCAGCGAGCATAGAAAGGTAAGATTCAATTTAACTATAAATTGAATAAACGTGTGCTTTTAAATGAATTGGTTAAAGTTGACGCAAGTGATTTCTAAACCAAACGTTCACGTGGGTTGGTTTCTTGCAGTCGTCCAAACCCATTATGGAAAAACGCAGGAGAGCAAGAATAAACGAGAGCCTTTTGCAGCTCAAGACTCTCATCCTGGATGCACTAAAGAAAGATGTACGTTCTGAAATCTACTTTAAATTGTCTTTAATCTGTTTGGTTTACTCGTGACCTCAACTTAACCCTTTCCCCACAGAGCTCCAGACACTCCAAGTTGGAAAAAGCAGACATCCTGGAGATGACAGTGAAGCACTTGAGGAACCTGCAGCGCGTGCAGATGAGCGGTACGTTCGATTTCATCTTACAAATAGGCCAAAGGACATGATGCAAACCACCACTTTGTAAATAAAACCACCAAAACGTCACTTATCTAACGTGTCCTTCCTCTGTGCTTCAGCAGCGCTCTCAGCAGATGCCACGGTCTTGAGTAAATACAGAGCAGGATTCAATGAGTGCACGAACGAGGTCACCCGCTTCCTGTCCACCTCAGAAGGGGTGAGCGTGGAGGTGAGATCGAGGCTCCTCAACCACCTGTCCAGCTGCATGAGTCAAATGATGCCCGTCAGCTACTCACAGCAGGCCCCGTCCCAGCAGGCGCACCTGGCCCAGCCTGTCCATGTGCAGCTGCCATCCTCTCTGCCCATCAGCGGCGCAGCAATGAGCTCCAAACTCAGTCCTGCAGAGGCCGTGTCCCCTAAGGTCTTCAGCGGGTTCCAGTTGGTGCCTGCAACTGATGGACAGTTCGCTTTCTTGATCCCCAACCCCGCCTTCGCCTCCACCACAGCTCCTGTCATCCCTCTTTACGCCAACGCGGGAATGCCTGTCGCTGTGAACGCCAGTCCGGTGCACGGCAGTTCCGCACCGACCGCATCATCTCCAGTCCACGGGATGACGTCCTTCTCAGGGGTGTCCCAAGCGGTTAGTCCTGTGGTAGTGAGCATAGGTTCCGACAGCGACCCAGTGTGGCGGCCTTGGTAGCCCAAAGAGCTGCAGAGACTCATTTAAAACCCGTTTGCATTACTCTTTCCGGTTTAAACTTTAACTGCACACAGAACTGTTGCGGGCCTCGAACCTGTGACTTTTCCTACTGGATGACCACTCTGTCCCACTCCCCAATAGCCCAATAGCGCTGAATGTTTCGTTTTATGGAACAGATGTTGCTTTAAATAGCGCGTGTTTGGTTCATTTTTGTTTATAATTTATTGTTGATTCCAACATTTGGATGTCGGTGATAAAGACACAGATGGAAGATTTATAGAAACATTTGCTATGAAGTACTTTTTATGAAAAGGTTTAGTGTTGTACAAAGGTGATTGTTATACCAAAGCTGTGTTTTATACTCTGTATTGTTTTGTGTTATAAAAAGAAAAAAACTGAAGTCAGGTGGCGAGGCAGTGTTTTAATAAAAGATATTTCTGAAATTCGTGTTTGCGTTTGCTTCAGTCCTTGTTTCCTGCACGGGGCTCTGTGCGTAAAAGCTGTGCGTAAAAGTCGCACAGAGGCACTGAGGCGAGATAATTAAACCAACCATATCGATCAGTTTCTGTCTAAAGTTTCAAGTGGCCACCTTGTCACCAGTTTGGCGGGAGCTTTCCTACATCTGGCCCTTTTGGGAACGCTTCTCAGGACAATGGGGGTGAACTTTTCTTTTGCTATGAAGGTAATTAAAAGTTTGAAAGGGGTCTCATCCTGTATGCAGCGGGAGCTTTAAGAAGTCTCAAACCCTATTCATGAGCCTGGGAAATGCGCTCAGGGGTTAATGTCACTAACAGATTGCCTCAGTTAAAGAATATGGAAGGACCCTCGCGCTCTTTTGTGCATCAATTGTTCAGCGTCGATCTAAAGGTGGGAGTGAGGGAGCTCAGAGAAACTTCGTACAGGTTTGTGTGAGATATGAAACTTGATCATCACGTTCAGTTTCTCTCACATATATTAAATCAGTTGAGGGCAGTTGAGGGTCTTTACATGTAAGGTCTGACCCTCACCAACAACTTTAAGTTTATCCCGTGCGTAAATCTATCCTGGCTCCCCATTAGTGGGGTCCGGAACTGAGGCTAGTGTCAGTGCGCGCCAGGCGACATGGCGCTAGCTGTGTGTCAGCCACTTGCGGCGAGAAGGCCCCTCTGCTTGGGATTAAGTTACAGCGCAGTGACCGCTGGTCAAACATTTAACAGTCTACCTGCGCGCCCTGCGCATGGCTGACACGGCCTGGTCGAAAGAAAGACGGACTGGAAGTGTCATAAGCCACTGCGATCGATTTTTATCTGAAATTGAGTTTAAAATATTAAATCCGTCAAGGAATAACAAAAAACACGTTTCTAACACAACACAACAGTCTGTCAAAATGCACAATATTCGTCTCGATTTAAAATTTTTATTCAATTTCAGATGCATCATCAGCATTATTATTATTATTATTATTATTATTATTATTATTATTATTATTATTATTATTATTGGCATCTGCGTTCGTGACACGGCGAGTGTTTTTCTATGACAACTCGCACAGCTCCTGCCTTTTTAATCCTCCTTTTACAGTTGGAGAGGCTTGTTAATTTGTGTACTTGCCGTCTCACTTTACCCCTCCTGAGCGCAGTGCCCTGAAAATGACACCGTCAGTAAAAGACATACCGAAACTCCGCTGCCAGTGATGCTTCAGCAGCGCGCAGGCATTCTGAAACACCAGTTGGCAGCATGTAGGTTCTGCGGTTGTTCCTCCTGCCTTCGTGTCTGAGTTAATAGTTCAGAGATGCCTTTGTGGAGCTGAGGTCGTGAGAACCGAGCGAACTAGTCTGCCTGCGGTCTGGCTCAGTGCCAGTCAGTAATTCCCCGCTGGTAGGTCGGGTCGTGTAGCCGCTCTGCGGAGGTGAGGAGGCGAACACACACGCGCGCGGACGCCAAGAAGGGCGCCTGGTCCGATGTAAACAGGAGGGAGAGGATCGGATCCAGTGTATACACTCACAAAGGAGTTATTTTCATGAGTATGAATCCTGCTTGAATATTAAATGTTACTCATAAGAAGTGAACAATCCAGTTTTGACATTTATAATGAAACTAAACAGGATAAGAGGCACTTTGTTGAAAGATTATGACAAACTTCTGGTTCAAATTAAAACCAGCAGCATTTTAGTTGCTGCAGTATAAACAAAGATGCGAAATATGGGGTTTCAGTCTGATCTAAATCGAAACAGGCGGGAATCCCTCTCTGGTGATGAAAAGGATTCCTCTACAGAGGGCTGCGTGTCCCTCGGGGACCTGCGCTATCACGTCCCATGGGAGAAGTCCCCTATTGGACAGGGGCATGGGGTCATCAGAGGAGTCACAAATTATCATCCTCATTAACGAATGAAAGGATGAGCGCGCGCGCAACGTGACCGCCAAACTTTTAACACCACTTCTCCCTCCAAGTCAGTGTTGGGTTGGATTGCGCAGAATCCGATGCTTTGTGCGCATGTCTCTTCCTCGTTTTGTGCAGTTAAATTTCACAAGTTTGCACATTAGTATGAATTTGTGTGATCAAAACACTTTCTAATGCATTAAATAAATAAAAAGTCAAATGCAAAATTATCTGAATAACCTTTGAGGTGGATGCAATTCTTTTGAAATGTTTAACCATTCCCTAATCAGTGCCAAGAATGCTTCCCCTGCAATGAAGACAAACAGCTGATTTCCTTGGTTAGTTCCTCCCCAGTGATTAAAGGATGAATGTTGGAATAATGGACACATTACTGACTCCGGGTCATGGATCGTTCCAGAGCTCCACTGCTCTGACTTTCACATGAATGTCAGGCTATTTTTGCTCCTCGATTTGAAGACGCTGCAGCTACTAAGACAGAAGGAAATGTTCCGCATGCTTTGGCCACAGGTTCTGCTAAGGGCAGGACCAAGTGTGTGTGTGTGTGTTTGGACACTCCTCGCACCTGTTTCCTTGAGAATCAGAGAAGGTGATAGGGAGAGGCAGATGAGGATGAGGAGACAAACAGACAGAATTAGAAGGGTGAGGACATGAATTAAAAAGGTGCTGAAACTCAGAAAAGGATCTGACACATGTTTATTTTGAAGGATATTGTGGATGATGAGTGATACTCAGCTAGATGGAGCTGACAGATCCTGAACTGTTTTTTTTCTGTGCACCTATTTGACTCCCTGACATCTTACCAACAGGTGTTCATTTTTTATCTTTTACCCCACCACCCTCTTCGCCCTGCCTGGTCTTTTTTGGCTTGCTCCACGATTTCCACACTCCTTTTGTATTTATAGCACGGGACCACTTATCCCCCCCCCCTCCCCCCAGGGTGGGTGTGAGGTGTTGGGTGTGTGTAGGAAGAAGGTGAGGCGGGCAGACGCAGGCAGGCCCATCCAGCCAGATCAAATATCACAGTGTCCGGGTGCCCCGTGGTCTCTGTTGATCCTTGCCGCTTGTCTGCAGAGCGTATGTCTGAAGCCAGGTTTGGCTTTTCAGCAGCTTCTTCAGTTTCATGGCATCAGGCCTGTGGTTTACAGCCTTGCTACTCATGCAGATTCCACAAGAGAAAGTTAAGGGTCCTCTTGACAGGGCTAGAGGTCAGCCAGCAGACTCCGAGGTGGCCCGGGAGCTGCCCTGTCTTCAAATCTGGACACGTTTTATTTACGTTTTCTGTCTCTTGTGGAGCCGTCTCCGTCTATCCCCTTCAGATATACCAGCTGTTGCTCTATTTTAGCTGTTAAGCAGCAATGAGTGTCATAAATCAATTATTAATGTCAGTGAATGTGACACTGTGGAGATGTGGCAGTGGTATAAACAAGAAAAAACCAGAATCCAAATGTGAGGCATTAAGTGGAACCATTCACGGCATTTTTTTCTTTCAATGAAATTTAAATAAAATCTTTTGAAATCAGTTTCATAAATAAACGTAGTAATTATGTAGAGACATATGCTTTATACTAATAACCATAAATACTCACTTCAGTCCAGATATGATAAAAGTAAAGATTTCATGATGAAAATCATGCTTTAACTTCCACATTAAATATCAGTTGAATCAGAAAACTCTACATCTCCATCTAGTGTTCATCACTGTTTTGTTACTGAGTGGCTTTAACACCTGTCCATGGACAGCAGATGAAAAGAGGCCATTTACATTTATCTGATGTTCTGTCATGTACATTGTCCTTGTGGGATTAACCAATAAAACAAAATAAATAAATGAGTGCATGTGTGTGTGTTCGAGTGTGTGTGCACAACTCCTCTCGTGTGTAATCTTGTTCAAACTTTTTTTCATCCAACTAGAAATGTTTTCTTTTGTTTCAAAGTGTAATCAGCAGTTATCTAATATACAGATGTGGATGCAAAGTCATTCACCTATTTGAAGATATTTTATTATGTTGGCTTTTCAAAGTTGTCCTTTCTGTCAGATTCAGATTGAAATGCGGCTGAAGTGTTCAGTTAGCATGCAGTGCAGTTTTACCGTATTAGTTATTTTTCCTCTTGTCAATGCAAATGTCAACTGTTCAAAAATGTACGTGACAAAACCTTTTATAATTAGCATCACACATTCCTGTTTTATGAAAAAAAATATGTTCTTGGATAGAAAAATGCAAACATGGCATTATTTGATTGCTGGAAGGTCAAGGAAAGTCTTGGTTCTGGTTTATTATTAGCAAATGAAATACAGCCATGTGTGACAAAAGGATGCTCTACTCTGGGATGTGTTGAAAGGTGTCTTTTCCTGGTCTGCTGTCCCACTCTGAGACCTGTGGTCCTCTCTGGGAGCCTGGATAAGCCTGGTGGTGACAGCCGCACCATTACAAGACTATTATCACGTTAACGTTGCCGGGGGGGGGGGGGGGGGGGGGGGGGGGGGGGGGGGGGGGGGGCATTGTTCCCTAAACGGGCAAGCAGGATGTCCTGGTATCTGGTCCTATCTCACATGGGCTCTGTGTGTGTGTGTGTATGTGTGTGGCCCTTTCGGTGGATATTAAGGGCAAATCCTTACAGCAGATGTGACCAGCGTTTTTAGTGTGATGCACTCTTCCTTTCATATATGTGTCAGCAGATTAACTTGTTTTTTTCCCTTTTCTCTTTCACAAATGTCCTCCACATGTAGATTTTAATGCAAAGCATTCATCAGATGCTGTTTGCACATGCTCACTGCATGGGGAAGACATAACCATGAGATGTCTTATGTGCTTTTGATTTTCTTTTACATCAATCTCCTTTTCTTTTCATGCCATGGGAAGGTAAACACTCATCCTCTATACTCGATATTTTAAGGGTAACTGTTAAACAGTTTGTGCGCCACTCCTGGTTTTATTGCCTGGATTATCAGGGGGCAGGGGGAGACAAGTGTCAATAAGTGGATGGGCTCATGGCAAACAGATGCACTGAGAACAGTGAATGCAGCTGGGTACACACACACACACACACACACACACACACACA